ATGCAACATACTGTATATCAAAGCAACATCCAGGAACTTGCATGTCTCAAGCTATCATCTCATGTTAGGAACAATATTACAATTTACAGAGGGCACAATGGTTTGGGTTTGATGAGCCCTATTGTATTGGAGGTCCCTAAATGGCTGCTCAGCTCCTCTCTATTCATGCTGACTACAGATGCTGTTTACATTTGTCATTCACCTATTCAACCCACTTTGGTGCCTCCGAGATCTTTGACTACAAAGTAAACCTGTCCCCGGCTTATACAGTTCAGACTGAGTTTATGACAAAAAATACATAAACAGTTGCTTCCTTTAGTGAGATCAGCATGTCAGAACACTCCAGAGCTATAGGCAACTGACATATTACACAGAATTCAGCCAAAGTACAGCTTTGCCACACCTCCAAGCTTCCCTATTGGCCTTAATATGATGTGCTGTCAATGTGACAAGCAGGGAGACATTGCAGGCAGTCCTTGATAAGTCCCTGTGTAAGTATACCTCTGAAAGGCTAGACGATATCCCTGGAAGTGGCAGCTGACCTCTGCATGATGGCATTTTGCAGACCTGTGTGTACTTTGTCAGCTGCAGAGCCACTTTCAGGGCTTTTTCACACCATAAACAGTGCATTCCAGAGTGGTCAGCTGCTGGAACGCACTGTATCGCAGCCCAGCCAGCTTCCTGCGGGAGGGGGCGTGGTGCTATTTTTTTCAGATTGCACTGGACTGGAATGCAGGCACTAATGTGCCACACGTTCTGGTGAGGGCGATCACACTGTGGGCGGGGGGGTGTGGCTGCGGTGTAATTGACTTTAATGCACCGCCATGCCCTCTCCCGCCCCTGAACCCAGGAATTTGTCGAAACCGAAATTGACGTTTTCTTTTTCCCCCCAACCCTTTACATTTTTTAAAGATTATTTTTTAATTATGTTACTTTACTGTGGGGGGCTTCGGGGGAATATTAGGGGTCTAAACAGATCCCTGATATTTCCCTTTTAAAATGAAAAAGAGATTGAGGACACAGAGTGCTCAATCTCTTTTTCTGCAGCCCCTGTTAGGAATGAGTGCTCCTGTCCATTCATAAACTGTGGATATAGAATGTTTACTATGTCTACAATCATAAATGAGCAGGAAGCGATGAAGAGAACTTCCTGTTCATTCATAACTGGGACACAGCATACTATGTCCTCAGTTATGTACAAACACTCAGTGATCAGCTGAGTGCTTGTAAGCTGCTCTCCATCCTGACTCGCAGTCACAGAAGTGGGGGAGGAGAGCTCAGCCTCCTGACAGCTGACTTCTCTCCCCTTGGCATCCTGAAACCGCTCGGCTCCTGTGACAGGCGCAGACTCAGGAGGCCAAGCGGTGCGGGAGGAGAGCTGAGCTCCTCTGACAGCTGACCCCCTCCCCCACACCGCTCGGCTCTAGTGATTGCTGTCTCTGCCCCACTCGGCATCCTGAAACCTTCTCTCCTCCCCGCTGGATGCCAGTCTCTTTCCCCTCGGATCCCCACTGCCTCTGCCGACACAGGCAGGAGAGAGCAGCGGAGATCGGACGGGACACAGACATGACACCCAGCATGGAGGAGAGAAGTTAGAGATACACTGAATTTCCAGACGCATTTTCGGTCATTATGGTATTTTGACCAAAGTACCATTTGCGGCCGAAATGTTTTGGTGCATCCCTACTTGTAGCCATGATCTTGTACCCAAATCTTCTGTTTAGAAGTATGGGTATGGTTTTGCTCATTAAACTGGGTCTCTCTGAATTCATACTTGCAGTTGGAATGCTCAGGCGTCAGTCTGTAGATCCTATTCTAGACCCTATAACCATGTATCTTTTCTGTACCCCAGTGTTGCTAATCCCCTTGGACTTATGTCCTCATGTTGCCTGGTGTCTTTCTTGGGGTATACTGCTCCCTTTTTTTCTTCTTCCCACTTTTTTCCCCCAATCGTGTCTATTGATATTGGAATCACTGCACTACAGTGGTGCTTATCTCTCCCAAGACCTGTCTTTTTAAGAGGGGCTTATCGACTTACAAGGTCAACAAACCTTTTTCAAACTGTCCTGTTTTTCCCTGAATTTGGAACTGATTATATTCCACAATAATGTGGGAGTCTGCTGCTCCACTGACTGGTGCTACTTATCTTCCTTGCTGGTAGCTCCTGTTCTACTCAATGAGTAGAGCAGAATTAGTATAACAGGTACTGTCTTATTACCCCCTTTTTGTGCTTGTGGGATTTACGTGGCATACTTCCATGATCATACTAATGTACACCTTTTTTTTTTTTTTACTACCCTTGAGTTTGATTCTATGGAACAAGCAGCTTCCCAAGTGGTAAAGGAATCTCTAAATGAGTCAGTCTTTTAGGGCCCATTCACATCAGAGCATTGTGCTAAGCACGTTACTGTGCAATTTAGTGCATGCCATCACACAGTATATCTAACATATGGTTCTGTGCGCTAGTATCATTGCCATTTATTTAATGGCACGGCAATGCACCTTGTGGTGGCCCTGCATGCCTGGATAGCATGGTACCACAGTAACGTGCAGTGTATAAAAAATAGTGCATGCATTACTTTTTTCTCCGTAACACGCGGTACTGCAGAGGGTGTGTTGGAATGCCATTCATATGAATGGTAAAGCAATGCACTTGGCACACCATTGAAATGAATGGCAACGCAATGCACCTAGCACACAGTAACACATGCTGGGTGGGCTATGCTCTAATAATACACCACCTGTCACTGGCTGATGCCATGTATGCTCATGTATAGATATCTTTGTTATGTAATATACGCCCCCTCACCAGTGTAGCTTTTACACACATACACAAAGAGAAACTGAACTTTGGAAGCTTTGCCAAAAAAGGG